GAACATAGGGCTTCAGCCATGCGTCTCCATTGCGTTCGGTTCTCTTCTCTGCTAGAGTCTTCACCTGGCTCCAAGTCTGTCCACACGTTTTCATCTCCTATTCACATGACCTCCTCAAAGTCACCCACCCTCGCACTGACGACCAACTCGCCGCTTCCCTTTCGGGTTCCACTCGAGCAATGGCTTGTCTAGTTATGTCACTCACTTGATGGTTTGTTTTCTCAGATTATGACTAGCCAATCCATCTCCATTTCTTCCTGCCTATTTGTTTCACAATCGGTTCCTGCTGAGTTGGTTCGCTCATTGTCAGAGATCCCTCTCTGTTGCTGATCTTTTCTGGCTGGCCATCTGATCTTGAGCGAAGACAACTAGCTGTTAATGAAGGTGTGTAGTTTGTTTGAGATGCTCTTTATGACGCTCAGTGCAAGTCTCTGATCCGTATTGTAAGTGGCACTGACTGACTTCACATTGGAGTTGGAAATCCAGATCTTATCTTCGTTTCCATGCTGAGTGCTGTTGACCTCCTGCACACAGACTTGAGAGTAGTGAGAGCTTAAGATCAATTGAATAAAGTTAATAAATTCTACAAATTAATAAGTTAAAGGTCAAAGACCATGTGACTGATTACCTGTAAACTTGATTAAATCACGCTTTACCAAGATGTGTACATTTAATCTGAAACCAAAGTATAATTCATTCACCTGTAGACTCATAGATTAATTATGCTGTCAAAATAGGGTCCATTTTTAAGGTGTTTAGATTGAAATATTAGAAGATAGGAAGTATCGACAAGATACCCGGTGATTTGGCTCATCATTTCAAATTGCTACTCTGCATATCAGGAGATTGAAGAAAAATGGAGGTCCACAGGTTCGTTTTTAATGTTTTTGGGAAGACTTCATCAAGTTCTATTGTTTTCTGGATGAGTTCTTGTGGTGGGTCGATTCAATAGTCATTTAAAGTGATCAGTCCAGCGTTTCCTCGGTTTCCATCTCTTTAGTAATTGGGTTTCCTTCACTGCCTTTCATTGGATTCATCTATGTTCATCTCTTTCCAGAAAGTGATCTGCTTATTTGATAGTGTTCCGAGGCCTCTTCAACCTGCCTTTTGTGTTCGGTTTCTGTTACTAGTGTGTCTCTCCTAGTTCGCTTCTTCATTTCTTTGTTCATTACTCTGTAGGTTGTACTCAGCCTCTCCTTTCGTTGTTCATCTGCTTCTCTCCTCTGTCAGCTTCCTGGTGTCCGTTGAGAGCCATTCTTTGTTTTATCTCCTCTTCTTCTTGACTGAGATGCCTATATGCATATTTCCTTCCACGTTAGCTTTAGGGAGTGAGTTCCAATGTTCCTCCACTCAGGTTTCCTCGACGGTATTACTTATTGTCTCCTACTTTTTCCTGATGACTGCTATGAAGGCGGATAGTTCGCTGTTCTCATTCATTTCCCTGAGCACCTTTCGACTCATGATGAGTGTCCTTCCTGTGTTGTCTGCTCCCAGTTTGACTGGCATTCATATCGCCTAGTCTTGCCACCTAGCCCTTGTATGGAGGATTTCATCACCATCACTGGATCAGGTCCCAGTGGCTCAATGGTCTATGGGCTCACCTTGTAACCAGAAGGTCCTGGGTTCAAATCCTGGTGTGCGCGTACTACTGAAGAGTCCCAAACTAGGACGAAACAGCTGTCCAGTACTCCCAGGTTTTCCAGTAGTTCTCTAACTGATGTCAGCTCATGATGAAATCCTCCATGCAATCAAACAAAATCCCTACAAAAACCAATACTTGAAAACCTAGCCCTTGTGTCTAGTTCATTATTGCTTGCAGTTGTCAGCATAGGTCCTTTTTCTTCTCTTATTATGCGTTGTTTGTATGCGCATAGCATTGTATACTTGTAACTTTCCTTCCTTGTGGGGTGAATCTCGCCGTCATTATTCTAGAGGTGATTGATTACCACTCATCAACACCGATGCTATTGGTGACGTCATCATAGCCGCCACACTGTCGTATATTATTCCAGAATTAGACTGATAATTTGAACGATCAAATGTTTTCAATAACTTTGTCCTGAAGTTCTACATCTACTTGATTTTGATCCCAGTTGACTCACAATACTGACTGTTTAAGCACCTGCAGCTCGGTTTTGATGTTATCGTTGGGTGGTGATTGGAAGTAATCGGCAGGAAACAGTGATTGACCTAGGTTTCGTGTTAGTTGCTACTTGTCAATATAGTGTATCTGCAATCATGTCCCTTCTGACATTCGAATCCGCGTCACCTTGTGCTGCAGTCTGAGCTGTTCAGACTGGCAATTGACGTTCTGTAGGACTGTAATGGATACTTTGACTGGACACTAGGTGGTAACTAATGTCATGCGTCTGACTGACTGACTGGTTTCAACATAGAACTTTGCACAGGTGTACACCAGTCCGAGTTGCCACTCTCCCTCCATGTAACACACAAAGCAAGAGAAGAGAGTAAAGGGAAATTCAAAAGAGAGAGAGAAATAACAAACAGAAATATGAGGCAAAAAGAATAGTAATATGGAAGGACCCTACAGCTTTATTGGATATTGTTAATCACAAAGAGTGAATGCATCTGCGCCATTGAGAACGATTTTTAGCCATATCACCGATTGTCTCCAGCCGTTTGAATTTTACCATCCTGAGGACCCCAACCGGTCAAGAAGTCTACGCCTATCTCCTGACGTGCCTGGTTGGCTTACTAACTAACTGTTGTGGATCTCATTGATTGGTGAAGCCATGTTTTGATTTGACCACCACTAGCTGGCTCTTTTCCAACCTGATCCATCCTATGTCAGCTGACATTGCCCATTGTCGAGGAAAGCGATGGCTAGGCATGCGTAACACATTTAATGCGTCTATTCCTTCGTGATCGCGAGTCACCTAGCCATGGTGGCCACTTTGCGAACTTGATTGGTAGAATTCAGTCTGCACCAAGACCACTAAGGTCTGGACACATGACATTAGTTACTGATGGGCTCACAGTAGTGCTGTTGCGTTCGAGATTCAATATGGAACACAATATCCTGAGATAAAATTGTACATGTTGCTATGGCAATGAAACACGTTTCTTGAATTCCACTGTTGGCAACTGCCAAATAAATAACAAAATATGATATAGAAATGATAGCAAAGATTTGCAGCTCAAGTGAATCGTATTGGTGTAGTTTTGTTCTCTGAACTGAATAGTTTATTTGCTAAGCTTTCATTATTTCTCAGCCCAGACAGGCTTCAATATCAAGTTAGCTTTCAGATTTCTCTATGAGTTTATTAACCGTCTACTCCTGATAACTTTGAACGTGAATGGTTGTTCTCTGAGACTTTCTCATCACTTTTATTCATTTGCATGCGTATCGATTACTTTGTTGATCTTTTATCCTTCTGACTTTCTTTTCGCTGTTTGATAAATCTAATCTATGTCAAATGTCAGTTGCTAGATCGTCATCACGAACCAACATGTGTTGGAGGGAATATTGAAAACCAGGGAGCATTGGACAACTGTTTCGTCCGATTTTGAGACTTCTCATCAGTGCACATGAGTTGACAAAGAACTCAGGAATCACTGAATTCCAACTCAAATGGTCTAAATGGTCAACGAGCTCTATCTCGTAACCAGAAGGTCGCGTGTTCGATTCTTGGCGCAGGGTCGTGGGAGCGCAATGATGAGGCGCCCTGAATTTGGACGAAACAGTAAGTAGTTCAGTGCTCTCCCTGGTTTCCAATGATCTGTCCAACTGATGTCTTGGCTGTTAACAGAAATCCAACAATTGGTTTTATTATTATTATTGTTTCGTTTAATTCCTAGAGGAACATAGGGCTTCAGTCGTGCGTCTCCATTGCGTTCGGTTCTCTGCTACAGTCTTCACCTGGCTCCAAGTCTGACCACACGTTTTCATCTCCTCTTCACATGACCTCCTCCAAGTCACCCTCACACTGACGACCAACTCGCCACTTCCCTTGCGAGCAATGGCTTGTCAAGTGATGTCACTTGACGGTTTCCTCAGAGTATGGCCAGCCAATCTATCTCCATTTCCTTCTGCATATTTGTTTCGCAATCGGTTCCTAGTGAGTTGGTTCGCTCATTGCCCGAGATCTCTGTTGCTGATCTTTTGTGGCCGGCCATCTGATCTTGAGTACTGAGCGAAGACAACTGTTAATGAAGGTTTTTAGTTTGTTTGAGATGCTGTTTATGACGCGCAGTGCAAGTCTCTGATCCGTATAGTGAGTAGCACTGACTGACTTCACATTGGAGTTGAAAATCCGGATCTCATTTTTGATGCTGAGTGCTGTTGACCTCCTGCACACAGACTTGAGAGTAGTGAAAGGTTGTCTTGCTTTTCCGATTCTTGCTTTGATATCCTCGTCAGTTCCGCTGGCCTTTAGTTGAAACGATGCTTCCCATGGGGGTAGGTAAAGGGGGTTGTTTCTTTCAGGTTCCTTCCATTTATGCTGATTGTTTTTCTGTTGTTGTTGTTGTTGCTGTTGGTGGTGTCGGCCAGTAATCTTCATCACCTCTGTTTTCTCTATGTTCACCTGAAGTGGTGTCCTATATTTGATGCTTCTTCTGCCAACCTGTTGCTTTTCGTTTGCATATCTTCCAGTTTGTGGGAAATCAGACATATATCATCATCGGCGAAGTCCAGATCCTCCAAATTTTTTGTATGAGTCCATTTTATGCCTGTTTCTTCGTTGCTGTCTGTTTGTCGCATTATCCAATCTACTGCAACCAGGAATTTAATCCAAAATCTACGGAAATCCTAATAATCTGTTTATGTAAATGTGTTGTCAAGTGCTGTCAGTAGAGGCAGATATGTTTTATAATACGTTACTTACATTGTTAGACGACAAGGTAGGAAATTTGGAGCTGTTATCATTTCTACTCTTGAAATATCATCACCAATGTTTCGTCCTTTTTTTAAATCGATAAAACATTATCTCAATGTTTTGTTTTGTTTGTTTTTTTCTCCAAAAATTTGTTTGAACTAGGAAAAAAGTATCCGACTACAGAATAATCTGGAGACAATGATGAAACGTGGCTCAACATTTATTCAAAATTTTGATAGTAAACGTCGTGAATTTGTCGATCAATTGGAGGATATTTCACATGAAGTTGTTCGTTCATTTATGCGTATTTTTGGATCAGATGGTCATTTACGTCATTGGTGGTCATCGCGTAAACGTGCAATATCGAATTCAACCTTTTCATCCCCAAGAACATCACCAACTTGTAGTGGAAGTGATGAAGATGATGATGATGATAATGAATCGGAGCAACCGTATAATAAAAAACCAAGAAAATGTTACAGTATGATCTATGGTCCTCGTTCGTGTAGTAGTTCAGTTACAGATTCTGATGAACAGACAAGTGAACGAAGAACGTTAGTTCATTATTCCCTTTTAATTTCTTAATTATTTCTGTTTTAAGAGTTCATCATCACAGAACAGAAAAATCTGTCTGTCTGTCTGGATTCAACATAGAACTTGGCACCGAAGTGCACCAGTTCGAGTTGCCACGTTCCGAATAGCACACAAAGGTAGACAAGAAAATGAGTGAAGAGAATCAATAGATTTTTGACAAGTATAAGAGTGAAACAGAATGAGTAATGGTAGAAAGGAATATGAAGATTAAAGAGACTGAATACATCTGCGTAAGCCATTGACAACGATTTTGAGCCATGTCACCTATTGTCTGTCTCCAGCCATTGATTCTCAGAGTCCCGAGGGCGGGCCCCAACCCGGAGGTCTGCATCTCCCTACCTGACAGACTCAGTTTAACTGTCATGGATTTCATGGATTGATTGATGACATTTTTTTGTTTGGCCACCACTTACTCTTTTCCAACCTGCTACCTATATCAGCTAGTAATGCCCATCGAGGTGGGGAGGCGATGGTTAGGCATGCGCAGCACGTGACCTAGCCATCTCAATCTATGTAACTTTATAGCCTCTTCGATTGATTTTCCCTCTTTGCCCAACACTCTACGCCTAACGTCAACATTACTTACCTTATTATACCACCTAACGTGAGAAAGAGATCGTAGACATCTATGATCAAAAACAGTCAAGTCTGTTCAATACATTTCGGTCATTAGTTCTGGGGAATTCAGTGGGTTGTCGTTGCACGACCAAACTTCATTCTCATCCTCTAAGAAACTGCCAATGTACATACGGTTAAATTGAGCACTTATATATATATATATATATATATATGATTATAGCTTGATTCCACACCGTATTTTCGGTAAAAGTATGGAATTTTCAGCATGTGATATCGGTAGCCCAAATTCTGCAGACCGACCATTGATATCAAGTGTGCGTCGGCAGGGGATCGAACCCCGGACCATCTGCATAGAGCTGGGGAGAGTCCTAACCGCTGTGCCACCGACGCACATATGTGTAAATGTTTGACACTGGTAGTTTGCGATTCCATGTGAATTTCTTTATTGGATACCTATCATACAGTGAGAAACAGCATTATTTAGTAGATGAAAAGGTTTCGAACACAGTTTACTGTTCAGAATCACACAACTTCAAAGCTCGTTACATATATATAGTTTTCACTCCTCTTTTCGTATTTGTCGTGAGGGTTGTAGGGTTTTCTAGGTGTCTGAGACATCTGTCGAATGATGTCTGTTGCATGTGATCTCAGTTGATTCGATAAATAAAGCTTAAGTTATCAGATCTCTCCTTTCATCCGCTTACATTAAATTTTATGACTGTCACCTTGTCCCATCCTGCTGTATTATGGTTGTGTACAAGTGTGTGTAGTGCTATAACTGAGCCATTTTTCAGACTTCTTATTTTATTAAAGTCTAGAGTTAAATGTTTAGCGAACCAACCAACAACACTAAGTAGTAAGTACATCATAAAACCTAAATGATGAAATGAAACACATAGAAGAGGCGTTGGTGTCAAATAACTATCCTATAAAATTCATTAGGAAGATCAGAAAAGGTAAAAAGCAAAATAAAAAAGATAATGGTGAAACTAATAATGACAACATAAATAAGAAAGCACATAAGGCATTTACTGTTATACCATATAAGTTCGGTTGGTCGGTCGGTTTTCGACATAGAACTTTGCACATATGTACGGCAGTTCAAGTCGCCACACTCCATGTAGCACACAAAGGAAGAGAAGAAAGTAAGAGAAATGCATAATATAGATAGTAAACAGAGGTGTGAGACAAAGGTATAGTAATAGCGAAGAACAAAACAGTTTAATTGGAAATCATAAGTCACAAGGAGTGGATGCATCTGCGTCCCGAGGACCCCAGCCAGGAAGTCTACACCTTCCTACGTGGCCTCGACTAACTGTTGTAGATTTTACTGCCTGGTGCCATGTTTTAGTTTGACCGCCGCTAGCTCTTTTCCAACCTGACCCTATATCAGCTAACATTGCCTCTTGTCGAGGAAGGCGATAACTAGGCATACGTAGCATACCATATAAGGAGGGGACATCTGAGACCTTACGTAGGATTCTGGATAAAGCAGGAATTAGAGTGGCATTTAAACCTGAAAACTCACTCAGGTAGGACAAGCTCTGTAGGTTTAAGGATCCTATTCACTCAATAAGACAAATTAATATAATTTCAAACATACCTTGCAATGACTGTGAGTTAAGTCAACTACATAGATCAGGAGTAGTAGGATTTTCAGAACACAAGATCTTAGCTATAGTATAGAATGATCGACCCCGCGAAGATAAGTAATTCAGAAAAAAGCCCAACAGTTTCACTGTATGCATTAACACAGCCACACAATAAGGTGGAACAGAGTTACAATCCTAAGAAGTAATATAAATAGACTGAAAGAGACGTTCATTACTGAATCTTTGTTCGTTGGGTTTATACGTAACACATGCAATAGGAATGACTAAGAATTATCACCAATACCGGAGATATGAAAAATATTACTACCAATCAAATCAAGAGATGAGAAGTAATGGAATTGTTGTATAAACGAAGTCAGAAACTTGTGTGAGTAACTTGACATGATTATGAGTAAAAAATTGTTTTCGAAAAGTCATCAGTAAATATTACTGTTGAACACTATCACTACCACATCACTTTCCCAGACCGTACAATCGTATTTATGTTTATTTCATCGATTTTTAAGAAAAAAACTTCGCTGAATACTCCTTTCTTTACTGTTTAACTCAAATGATGGTATATTTCATGTGGTCACGAATTGATATCACTTAAAGAGAGAATCATGGGAAGCCAGGAAGTACTGGACAGCTGTGTGGTTTCAGTTCCGGGACTCTTGAGAAGCGCGCATACTCATGATTCCACCAGGTTAGAACCCCAGGATCTTCAAGTTACAAGGCGGGCTCGTCGACCACTCAACCACCGACACGAAATACAATAGCCTATGAGTTCTAACTGGAGTTTATGGAGTTCTTATGAAAAGTTGTGACTTGAGGGGTCGAGCAAGTTGGGTGTAAGGACAAATACTTGCTGATGAGACATTCGGTGGCAGCTGCACTATATGTGGCGAATCAAATCCCTAGAAACAAACAGTTTAAAATGATATATGTACTGGAATATATTAGAGAAGATACTCAAAGTCGAAAATTAGTGGTGCAACTTCGTTAGACCATACACAAATAAGAATAAGTGATCAATAAACCGAAGTCATCTCCCATTAGTTGGCTTTCTACTGTCCTTATTCACAGTGTTTAATGGTGATAAATGTTTCTCATCCATTTTGGTGTATTTCTGAGTACATCTGCTTTTGTCCTTACTACATTATTGAATTTATGTCTCATGTGAACTTTTATCTAATTAGAATATTCACTAACATGATTGATTGTAGATTGCTTTTTAGTTCACTTAGCACAATGCAGGTAGTGTGTTATTCCTGGTGAAATATGTGTGTGTTGGAGAGGTAACCATAGATATACACCCTCTCAGATTTGTGTATCACTCTTGAATATTCACTCCATTATTACTATTATTATTGTTTCCTTTAATTCCTAGAGGAACATAGGGCTTCAGCCGTGCGTCTCCATTGCGTTCGGCTTTCTGCTAGAGTTTTCACCTGGCTCCAAGTCTGCCCACAGGTTTTCATCTCCTCTTCACATGACCTCCTCCAAGTCACCCTTGCACTGACGACCGACTCGCCGCTTCCCTTTCAGTCGGGTTCCACTCGAGCGATGGCTTGTCTAGTGATGTCACTTGATGGTTTGTTTCCTCAGAGTATGGCCAGCCAATGCATCTCCATTTCTAGATATAATAGAGAAGATTTGTAGCTCAGGTGGATGATTTTGGTGTGGTTCTGTTCTCTGAGCTAGATGGTTTGGTTATTTTCGAAAACAACCAATCACGTTCAAGGTTACTAGAAGAGATGGCTAATAAACTCATAGAGAATTCTAAAAGCTCACTTCACATCGAAGTATGCGCTGAAGATGTTGCTCAGTAGAGCAATGAAAGCTTCGCAACCAAACCATCTAGCTCAGAGAACACAACCACACCAAAACCATCTCCATTTCTTCCTGCCTATTTGTTTCACAATCGGTTCCTGCTTGGTTGGTTCGCTCATTGCCAGAGATCCTCTCTGTTGCTGATCTTTTCTGGCCATCTGATCTTGAGTGTTGAGCGAAGACAACTGTTAATGAAGGTCTGTAGTTTGTTTGAGATGCTGTTTATGACGCACCAAGTCTCTGATCCGTATAGTAAGTAGTGTAACAACAGAAGACAAGGGCCAGGCAACAGATCGTTTATTAAGGAAAATCAACACATATTTATAGATTTTAATGTACATTATTGTTAGTAGAAAATGCAGTCTTTTGATTGGTTGTTTCTCACAGAAAGTTAACCTTGCATCTCTTTGTGGCTGTGTCAGATCATCAGTATGCTAACTGTATCCGCCTACGCAAAGCCTTTGTTCTCATTTTCTCACCACCAATATTGGAGACATAAACATTGACGTCAATTACTGTCTACCAACTTTGGCTAGCAACCAGCTCTCACCACAGTAGCACTGACTTCCCATTGGAGTTGAAAACCCGGATCTTATTTTTGATGCTGAGTGCTGTTGACCTCCACACAGACTTGAGAGTAGTGAAAGCTTGTCTTGCTTTTCCGATTCTTGCTTTGATATCCTCGTCAGTTCCGTCTTCCTGTAGTTGAAACGATGCTTCCCAGGTAGGTAGGTAAAAGAGGTTGTTTCTTTCAGGTTCCTTCCATTTATGCTGATTGTTGTCTGTTGTTGTTGCTGTTGGTGGTGTTGCCCTTTTGTGAACTGTAGTTTATGTGGAACTGTGACACGCTGTCTGAAAGTGCTTAGGTTAAATTAACATATAACTTTTGAATACAATTATTTGTCTTCAAAAGTGGTGATGCCTAGTGACTCAAACTCGAAACTATGTCTATAATT